TCAGGCATCGACTTGCGACTACAGCTGCCTCGCTCCAGATTAAGCTGCGACTATAATTAAGAGCGGAACGGCACAGAAAGAGTGTTATAATGGGGAGGAGGAGGGGAATGGACACTATTTACCATAACAATGGGGTGCGGCAGGGAAAACACCTTTAGCTCGCGGCACAACACACACTGAAAAGTGTAGAGAAAAATGTAAAGAAAAACTTGTGTCGCTCCTCGGACCATTCGGATCAGGTGTTAATGTCTGTATTTATGACCTAAGCGAACTCATACATGAGTTGTGTGCAATTATCGTCATTAGTAGTGTCTCCCCCCAGCCCGCAATCGCTGACCCAACCCCTCCTGTCAGTGCATTGTTCCATGTGTCGGTGCCGCTTTAGTTGCGGCTTGTTGTGTATCGATGTAGCATGCTATAATTTTGGAAATTCAGAAATGAATAAAATGATTTCTTCATGCCAGTCACAGGCAGTCATGTTCATAATCAACATCATCATCTCGTCATCGTTTTCAGCCTCATGCTCATGCTCATGCTCATCGGGCTCTGCCCTGGTCTCGCCTCATCCAATTATTACAGTTTAGCCATGCCACAAGTCAAACAAAAGATTCACACTGCCGTCAGAGGAACCGTCGGAGATCCGCCTCAGAGACCCCTTCGGCCTTAAAGGTTACCCGAAATTACATATATTCGAGTGGGTTGAAAGGATAAGGATAAACCAAGTGATTGTAACATTTCCACAGCGCACACTCTAGATTATTCCGTAATATTCCATTTAGAACATTAACTACAACTGGTCTAACCCGCTAATCAGCATTCACACACACTTCCCCAGTTAAGTATTACAAAACCCCACAACAAACTGGCGCCACATTCAATCTAAAATCCGAGACAGCTCTGAAAGTTTCTTGAACTTGTGAACCCCGACCAGAGCTGCACTCATACTCACATATGTGTGATGTTAATTGAGTGAATAGTACGGCTGTACATGGGATAATTCACTTGAAATGTTTACGCAGACAATGATCCGTCGCGTAAGGCGAATAAATTGAAAGATTTTCGAGTGTATCTGTGGAAATCCGTGTCTGGAGACACACAGGAGAGATGAGAGAGATTTACGTGGAAAAGAGACAAACAAATAAATTTAGTTTGATTGAATAATGGTCGCATAATTGGCAACTTGAATGGAATTGAGTAGCAGGCAAAACCCCAATTGAGAAACCCTAACAATAAAATGCACTCAAGAGTGCTGTCTGGCTACTCGTATTAACTAAGTGAATTGGATAATCTCATTCTCATTCTCATTCTCATTCTTATTCGCTGAAATCGCAGACTGTTGACTCAACAGGAGAATTCAGTTGGACGCCAAGTTGTCGCCTCTCGGCTTGTCTAAGATTTCTTTCAATTGAAATGTGCAACTGAGAAATGTCAGGCGGCAATTGTCAACTAGATGGATGCGATGGATATCACGCATTCGCCGTGTTAGCCTACGACTCGCATGAAGGTGCATTGGGGTTTGCAGTTGATTCACCTCGCAGGCGCATGAATCATGTGAATCAGCTATGAATTATGTGTTATGAGTGTAGCAAGTGAATCGAGTTGGAAGATTGAGCAGCATTCAAGGTGTGCTAGACACCAGTTGGAGGTGGAGGTGGAGGTGGATGTGGAGCCAAGAAGTGTGTCAACTAGATGAACGAGTGTCTGGGTTTGTTCTCGATTTGCAGTTGGTAGGAAATGACAGACTAGCTGCTCTTTGGGAGCTACTTTCCTGCGAAAATGTTGCTTAAACTTCTTTAGTTTGAATTGTCGCAGTGTCCTCTGTTCTGGCGCCAGAGCGTTACAACTAAAACTGCACTTAGTTAGTCAGTAAAACAATTTCATCAGCAGCCTCACAGCCCACACCCTCTGCCTCGCTGCTCCCCCTCTTCGGGCTTGTCGTGTGTGGGACATGCGCTAAAAATTCATTTGATTTGACACTTCGCAGTGGCTTTTAGCGCTGCTTTTACAACACCAACCCACAGCAGCATCGGTGTGTCTGGCTGTGTGTGTGTGTGTGTGTGTCTTTCCCACTTATTAAGGACTTCCTGTTTGGCCGATTGTCGACAACTTTGTCGCGACAACAGATTCATTTAGCGGCCACTGCAGTTCAATTTAACACCCGCCGCACACACAAATATTTCTCAAGCTTCCCCTCCATGTTGGATTTTTCTGTTTCTTTTTTTTGTTTGCAATTTTTATTTCAAATAGAATCTTTAGTTGTTTTTCCGATCTTTTGTTGTTCGTATCGTTCCGTGTCTAAATATTCAATAATACATCTGTATAAATATAAATTAAATAGTGCTTAGTTCCTTGCCTGCAGCGCTTAAGTATCGTTAATAGTTAATAGTTAATCGTAGAGTGTTTTGTATCGTAGATATGTGACAACAGTTTTGATCCAACTCTCTGCGAAACACTCACGTGGGCGAGGGTGCTGTCCAGTGCAGAGGAAGTTGTGTGAGGCAGGGAAGAGAATTTTGACAGATTTTGTTTGTGGAAATTAATGAAGAATTTCTGTATCTTTTATGATGCAGTTCCCCTTTGGAAGTTGTTCAAAATATTCTTGAAGTATTTAAGGTTTCCCTCATGGGTTTATATAATTTTCTGCATAACCAGAAGATCCATAAATCTCTTTCTCAGGGAAATATTATTACCAAAAATGTACAACTTTGCCGCTTTGCTGTTGAAATTTGTTCCAAGAAACTATTCTTATTGCATGGAAAAACCGCTACAGAAATCGTTTTACTCTTCTGCTCTCTTCCCTCGTAGTTTCCCACCTGCCTGCACTTTTTGAACTCTGCAAATGGAATCCCTGCTGGCACCCATCCTGGTTTCTCTATATACAAGCGTCTAGCGCCTCAGTCGCGGCTATTTCTATGTACAATCAATACTTAAACTAAATCAACTACCAAACGCCATGCCGCAACCCGCTCTCCGCTCTCTCGCTCTCTCGCTCCTTCAGCTATTGCGCGAGACGACTTGGACCGGATTGATCAGCGGCTGTGGTGAGGGACCTGGTGAGTCGCCTCCTCCACCTCCACCTCCACCTCCACCATGGAGGTGACTGGGCGACGAGGGCGGCTGCCCCAGATGTGTCATATGAGGCTGTGGTGCCGTCGCCGCCGCCGCCGCAGAGAGCTGTCTTTGATGTGCCGCCAGAGCGGCGGCTGCCGCATGTTGATGCAACAGCTGTTGGTACTGAAGGCGCTGATAGAGCTCGTTGCCTGTCGGCGGCACCCCGAACGGAGGCGGCGGCAAGCCCTGACCCGGTCCAGGTCCTGGCGGAGGCGGCGGCATGCCCGGCATTCCGCCGGGTCCGCTCTTTGGCGCAAAAGGATTGTAGCGCTGGTACATGCTGGCCAGCAGGCTGGGCGCCGTGGGGGGATACGTGAGGAACTGTCCGAACTGTGGATAGGCCGCCAGACTGGGGAACATGGGTCCAATAAGCGAACGCTTGAAGGCAGCCAGCCGGGAGCGGGAGGCGGCTGTGGTGCGTCGCCGCAGCTTGCCAGTGGATCCACCGATGAAGACATCCTCGGCCGAGGGATCGAGCATCCAGTAGTTGCCCTTGCCGGGATCATCGTAGTGCCGCGGCACCTTCACGAAGCACTTGTTGAGGCTGAGATTGTGCCGGATGGAGTTCTGCCAGCCCTGCTTGTTGTCCCTGTAGTACGGATGGTTGGTCATGATGTACTCGTAGATGCCGTTGAGGGTCAGCCGCTTCTCCTGGCTCTGGCGAATGGCCATCATGATGAGCGCGTTGTAGCTGTAGGGGGGCTTCTCGTTGCCCTTCTTATCTTTCACGGGTTTGCCATCGCTGGACTTGGTCTCGGCGTCGCCGTCGGTGGTCTCACCATCGCCATCGGCATCACAGTCCACGTCTTCGTCCACGTCGTCGCAGTCGTCCACCTCGTCCACGTCGCTGCTCTCATTGTTGGCGACAGCCGGCGCCGGGGACATGGACGTGACATCCAGATCAGACTCCACATCGCTCTCCGGATCGTGCTCGTCGTTGCCCCAGTGCGTGGCATCAACGGGATTATTGTTGTTGTGGTTGGGCAGAAATTTCGATTGAAGGACTGACTGATCCTCGGGCTTATCCTCCTCCTCGTCGTCGTGATGCTCCAGCGTCTCGGGCAGTATCGAATTGATCGAAAAGCTGGACTTGAGATGCGGCGTTCTGGCCATTTTCATCAGATTCGTGAGATTAATGCCGACGGGATGTGGATGCGATGAGAGCGTCAGCGGATGATGATGATGATGCGCAAGCGTGGGCGTATGATGGTGGTGATGATGATTGTGGGCGCTGATCTCGGGGAGACCATCAACGATCTTCACCATTTTTGCTTCACAGCCTGCTGCTACCCGTATTACCCAGCGATGGACAACAATGTCATTATTTATTTCGGATTCTTAGGCACACAAAATCAAATCTAAATTCAAATTGGGTCTGCGCTTCGTTAAGTCTGTGTCGCTGAGATTTCGTTACGTTCAGTTTTGCCGACGCGAGACGACGTTTTGGTTCGTCGTCGTTTCTGTTTGAGATCTCTCACGTCCGTTGCTCTGTCGGGTTTAGTGTAGACTAAAAACAAGAATTCCCAGTAAACCCAATCCACTGTACTGTGCTGGCTGCGTATAGGAGGACTGCTCCGCGGCGTGCCGTGTGTTTGCTTTACCGCTTGCCGGTCGGGGGATGTTGCCAGCCAACCAATCGCCGCTGTGGAACGGTCACGCAGAGAGCGCTGCTAACAGAGAGAGAGAGAGAGAGGCGTACAGAGAGCGAAGCAGCACATGCACGTGTGTGTTTGTGTCATTGTGGGTTGCATTTTGATACGCTAGGTTTTTCGTCTCTCTCCCCCTGACAGCATTCTTCTTCCTCTTTGCCAGCTGCTGGCTCTTGCTTCGTGTTTGTTGCTGTGTCTGCTCCGCTCTGTCAGTTCAGTCGTTGTTGGTGTTAATGTATGTCTTGTTTTTACACACAGTTTCCATTATTAATTGTATCCCATGCCAGATTTCGGTTTGCTTTGCCCGTTTGCCCCCGTTAATTTTTCGCCAGTTTGCAAACTTATGGATCGTATTGCATGTCCATGGCGGACCGTTGAAAGGGGGTTGCTGACATCGGAGTTAAATTTGGAACAGATTTGTGACATTCGGTTGCAGGGCGGAGGCAGCAGACTGATGTTCATTAGTTGGCATTATAAAGGGAAGGATCTTGTTGAGGGATCTACATTTATTCTTTACAAATGTTTGTGCAGAATTGATTTTTGGGAATATTTTGATGAGGGATTGTGGTGATAGTTTTTGTAAATTTGTGTGAAAGTTGAATGGGTTTATTTTGCATTTATTTTATAGCTTCTTGCTCAAATCTTCCACTTGGAACACGCTGGCATAAAGTCTAAGAATTCCTTACCATAAAAAAACCTCTTAAATTTTCCTAAAATTGTTCAAACAATTTCCTCAATTTTCTATCAATCAATAATTTATTTCTCAAAAATTGCAAACATCGAAAATTGCTTTAATTATTTAATTATCATAACAAATTTGTTTTTCTTTCAAACTTTCTGCCAACAATTTTCTTCAATTTTCACATAATTCCACATTTTCTTTGGTAAATCAAACATGAGGCGAACGTTTAAGTGTAATTTGCTGCAATCAATTGAAGAAGGGAATTTTCCAGAACTCAACTGCAAAATGAAAAGCAGCTGCTGCCATTCGCATGTGCCACCAAAACGAACGCGCAACACACACATGCCACAGCCATGAGAGAGCCACTCCCCAGCCGAATCCAAAACGAAGCGAAGCAAAGCAAAGCGAACCGAACTCAAAATCGAAATCATTTCTGTAATCATAATAATTGTTTTCACAAATTGGGGGCGTGCACTCCGTCCGCAGTTGTTGTGCCAGCCAGCCCGGATTGGAGATTCCCCCTCCCCCATCACGCAATATATCTCTATAAACCATAAAGAGGGCAGGGGGGAAAAACTTGTTTTACCTGAATCATACAAAAAAAAGTGCAGCCGAAACGAAAGACGAAGCCAAAAGACGAAGACGCCATGTTTGTATGCCCTATCGATGGCCTAACGGAATGTGGTTGGAATTGTATCTCTATGTGTGAGTGTGAGTGTGTGTGTGGGGGGTCTCCACTCGTGTTTTTGCTGCTGCGGCCACAACTTATTGGACGCCCCACCAGTGGAGACATGCGCTCTCAGCGCCGAAAGCTCTCTGGGAGAAAGAGAACGTGAGAGCAGAGCCCCAACCATAGCGAGAGAGAGGGGGAGTGGAGCTTCCACACATCAACTGGGTGCTCAAAACAAAATGGCGCCTCACCTCAAAGGCATTTTAATTATTGCCCCCGCCAGCAATTTGTTCAATTGATTTTTTGTTGCCCCATTGTTTGCCCCGTCTTTCAATTAAATTATTAATCATTGTTATTTTTTCCTTGTTTTTCCCTGTTTTGTAATTGTTTTGGTTTGCTTTTGAATAAAACCTTGATGGGGTTTCCAACTATTCAAACTAAACGAATGGTCAGGAATTATAGGGGATAGAATAATTATGGGTTTCTTAACAAATTGAACGTTTATTCTTTATGCATTATAGAGATGTTACAGGGAAAAGAGGATGTCATTTGGACATGTCTTTAGTGGCCATAATTGTGGCCTTATTTAATATTTATACTGCGAGTTGAGGGCATATTGTGAGGGTTTTTAAGTAATAGTTAGGGCACATCGTTTATCAATGTTTTAAAGTGCGTAATTGATGGATATTTATGGTGATTGTTGCTTATTTAAATAGCTTGGAAGACCAAAAAAGGGAAGCATAAACCAAATAATTTAAGCAACAACACAAATATTTTACCACAAACCAAATAACAAACGAAACTGCACGGCGACAATCTTTAGAAGTTAGAACTTCCCGACAATCCGGAAACTACAGACGGCAGACCGTAATTACCACGTGCAAACAAAAATGCCACAAAAACCTCGTGACAAACGAAAGAAGGATAAGGGCAAAAAAAAAACCAACTTGTCATTGATTAAAACGCTGAAAAGGCGACAGATTTGCAAAGGCTACCGTATCGGTAGGACATCAAATATGTGAGTCGAGCTGAGTGTCTGATCCGGCAGGGGATTTGGATGCGGATTGACAGAGAGAGAGAGAGAGAGAGTCCCAGAGAGTCGCAGAGTCGGGGGGCGAGAGTACTTTACTAATCAGGCAGATTTATAGCCGGCATTTAGTTTTGTTTCAGGGGCAAAACTTTTGATATTTGCAGCGGCAGCGGGAGAAATAAATCCGCGGGCTAGCGAACTCAACCCGTTCCCGCGCCGTAAAGTTGCTACGCCCACGTGGAACGCCCGAGCATGTCCTTCCGGGTACGCGTAGGAGCCTGATATTTTGATCAACTCAATGGCAGTTTAACCGCAGGATTAGCTTGTTTGTCCAACGGATCAGCGCGATGCATGCAAACAAGGTAGGAGAGCAGAAGGATCGCCAGAGATCTGCGCCTCTACCTAAGGGCCTGTGTGGGTGGCTGTAGAGGTAGCTGAACGGGTTAAGGCTCGACTCGGTTCTGCCTCGTTCGCTTCCGTTGTTTATATTGTCTGTTTACATGGCCACACAGTCAGCGATCCGCAGTAGCTGTACCTACCCACCAGACACACACTCGCGGCTACCGTTTCGAAAGAGTTAAGCAAGGATTAGATCGATCCTCTGGAGGGGACTTAGCTTAGCGCGTATTAATCTCATTTCGTGGACCTCAAGCTGTGTTCTCATCCTCGACCATGTCCTTCTCCTTGTGCGTGTCTTGGCGTTGCTGCTTTTCCCTCTAATCGCCGTCGCTTAGCCATGCAAATATTTTCAATTTCGGATTTGTCTCGATTAAAAGGGAAAAAGGGTTAAACCTCTCTCAGACACCCAGGCTGGACTCTGGACTCTCTCTGCTGACATCTGATTCTGCTTTAAGCGTGTTAACCAGCTAACAACATTTTGTATGAATGTTTTCCAAACGAGTTGACGAGTTTTTCCTTGCCTCTGCCTCTGCCTCTGCCTGTGCTGGTGGGGTCTTCGCTCTCCCACACATAAATTGGCCCAATTTCATTGAAATCACGTTCCCGGACGGACTGTTGGCAGTACTCGGACACACTTGTTTCCCCGTTGCCCCGTTGCTTGTTGTTGCTATTATCGTGTGTTTCGTTTTGCAAATAAACAGCCAAATGAGTGTCCTAGAGGTTGCCTTGAGTACAACAGCCAAAAGGGGTGCGGAGACATGAGGGTTGAGGGAGCCCAGCGACATGGTCCATGGTCCATGGGCAACAGCAGGGAGACGGCGATGATGAGCCGGAAACAAGGATTTAGAAATAGCAAAAACTTTCAGTCGCGGTGGTTGTTAAGTGCGCTACAAACAGACAGATATTTGTATCTGGATTGGTAATGGAAAGGCAGTTATCGGCGGGAGATCATCGCAGAGATAGTTGTGTGTGGCCATATGGTGGGGTAGAGGAAGCGGCATAAGGCACATAATTATGTGTAATATAAATATTAAAAGGTCTCGGAGTACAAGCAAATGTGCGCTTCCTGCAGAGGTTTTTGTGGTGCATTTTTTCATGATAACAATCTCGGAGAATTATTTAATGCAAAAATAGTTTCCATTTGAGAAGTATCTTCTGTGATGATAATTATTGAGTAAATTTGTATTCAAAATGTGTGGAAAATAGTTCCTGTTTTGGCACATTCTGCATAATTATTTATCTCTTCATTTTCTACTCCCTCATCATACAAGTCACCAAAATACACCCCAAAAAAAGCTGCAACACTCCCCCCCTCTTGGTGCGTGCATCGCCCATCGCCCTTTCCGCTTCCCCTTCCCCTTCCCTTTCTTCTGGAGTAACACTTGATAATTGTTGACAATGTGTTATAAACTGATTTACTCGCATTCAACGCAAACGAAAACGAAAACGAAAAGAGAAACATTGCCAAAACTCACGCAGCGCCAACAACAGCAACAAAAAAAACACAACAAAACACGAGCCGAATCGAGCGACAAACATTGACAAGCCACAAAACATTGACAAAGTCGAGTCGCGGCGAGGCGACACTCGTCAGCGACATCGTTAAGGGCAACAGCAGCAGCAGTGGAAGCGGAAGGGGGGTAAGGGGAAGGGGAAGCAGCAGCCACCGCTTAGATGTCATCGTTAGCGCTGGTGGGAGTGGGAGCGGGAGCGTGTCGCGTGTGCCACGCAAGGGTGGCACCACACAACCATCAAGGGGGAAAACCGGACTGTAACTGTGGTGCACGGTGTGATGTGCTGCTCTCTGGTGTGTGTTAATGAACTGCGTAACAATTAACAGCAGCAGCAACAACAAAAACAGCAACCATCAACAATAGCCGCAAGTTGGAACAAAAAAAGGGAAGGAAATGCTAGCTAAGGGAATGCTCTAACTGAGAGATCTATAGGATAAGCATGGGAATTTTAAAAGGGAATTTATTGAACAAAAACAGAACAAAAAAGTTCTGGCAAACAAAATTTAATGGTTAAAATGAGAAAAAGCCAAGCCACAGACAGGATTTTCTGCAGCATCTTCTCTAGATATGG